AGCAGGTGTGAAAAAATATTCAATGCATGGACCAAATGGTAGGTTTATAAATATGCAAGATGGATTCTGGTAAGAAGAATTTTCTAGCCCGAGACAGGAAACCAACTTTCCGAGCAGCAAACACAGTAAATTGATTTAATATAATCTTTCCACTTCATATCAGCAGAAAACCTTAGTCAGTTTAGATATAGCTTTGATAGATAAATAGATAGATATGAATACATATATAAATTGGGGATTGGCTGAGTTATTAATTTGTTTTTACGGATTGTCAACCCTTTGTAGGTTGTTTAAAGCCGACATAAAATTTGTGTTGAAAGAATGATTCTTTTTTGTGAGCGAATATTTCATTACAAGCTTTGTTGAAGATATCAGTAATTTTTAAAGGTACGAGACCTACTATTTGACCCATAGGTTGGGGGAGAAAAGATAGATTTATATTTTTCCTGGGGGTATTTGTGCATAAGGAAAAAGAAACGAACTCTACTAGAATTCGAACTCAGCTGTCCATTTTTTTTTCATTCCGAACCGATATTTCGCGCATCACCCGCTCATCAGATAGGAAAGAAAAAAGAAAGAAAGAAATGCACCCCTCATGTAAAAGCAATTACTCAAAATACTTGAAACTATCTTTATACACCTCCAGCTAGGGGTCAAATACCAAAATAACCTGGGTTCGTTAGTTTTGGGTGACATACGATGTAGGAAAAGGCCTACTCTGAATTCAGAAGCACAGAGAAGGCAACGCGAAACAATTCCACTATCATTTCCAAGACATCATGACAATTCACCCATAATAAAGAAATGGATATCGTGGAGAGCCATGACATATATGGCACTTTAAAATTCTTTATACAAATGAAACAACCAACATTAAACCCTTTTCTTTTTCGCCAAGGAAGAAAACATTTTAAAATTTGCTTAAAAACTTATAAAAATTAATACGTCTCTTCTTTAGCATTACCAAGTTTTGTGATGTCAACGAATACTCGTTACCATTTTTGTAATGCTCGTTGTAGTAGAAACTTTGTAATCACAGATACAACTATAGTAACGCCGTTGAACAATGCGAGTGTCAGACGCCTTCGAATAACACTCGTACTAATAGTACTTACTCGATAATACTCGCTCGAATAGTAATACATATAGTGACCCGAAAAGAGAAACAATTTGATCCGAATAGTAATAGAGGATAGAATATCAATAGCGATCCGTATAGTAATAGAGGATAGAATAGAAACAGCGATCCGGATAGTAATAGAGGATAGAATAGAAATAGAGATCCGAATAGTAATAGAGGATAGAATAGAAATAGCGGTCCGGATAGTAATAGAGGGTAGAATAGAAATAGCGATCCGTATAGTAAAAAGGATAGAATGGAAATAGCGATCCGGATAGTAATAGAGGATAGAATAGAAATAGCGATCCGTATAGTAATAGAGGATAGAATAGAAATAGCGATCCGAATAGTAATAGAGGATAGAATAGAAACAGCGATCCAAATTGTAATAGTGGATAGAATAGAAATAGCGATCCGAATAGTAATAGAGGATAGAATAGAAATAGCGATCCGAATAGTAATAGAGGATAGAATAGAAACAGCGATCCGTATAATAATAGAGGATAGAATAGAAATAGCGATCCGAATAGTAATAGAGGATAGAATAGAAATAGCGATCCGAATAGTAATAGAGGATAGAATAGAAATAGAGATCCGAATAGTAATAGAGGATAGAATAGAAACAGCGATCCGGATAGTAATTGAGGATAGAATAGAAATAGCGATCCGAATAGTAATAGAGGATAGAATAGAAATAGCGATCCGGATAGTAATTGAGGATAGAATAGAAATAGAGATCCGAATAGTAATAGAGGATAGAATAGAAATAGCGATCCGGATAGTAATTGAGGATAGAATAGAAATAGCGATCCGAATAGTAATAGAGGATAGAATAGAAACAGCGATCCGGATAGTAATTGAGGATAGAATAGAAACAGCGATCCGAATAGTAATAGAGGATAGAATAGAAATAGCGATCCAAATAGAGGATAGAATTTTTAGGGAATATATAGAGGATAAATAGTGAGCGATCAGAATGACTAGAGGATAGAATAGAAATAACGATCCAATAGTGGGTTGACCAATAGAAAAGATCCCGCCGAGAGGATAACACTAATAGAGGATATAAAGGAAATCTTGTTAGCGATCCAGAATAGTAACCAGGATAGAATAGGAAATGATCCGAATACAATCTGCTGTGATATCCAATAGAGGATAGAATTCAATACGCGATCCGAATAGTAATTGAGGATAGAAAAAATTCGATCCCAATAGTAATTGGATAGAATAGAAAAGGACGACCGTCATAGAAATGTCCAACAAATAGTAATAGAGGATAGAATAGAAATAGAGATCCGAATAGTAATAGAGGATAGAATAGAAACAGCGATCCGGATAGTAATAGAGGATAGAATAGAAATAGCGATCCGAATAGTAATA